GAGGCAGAGCACAATGATATTGAAATTTGTTGACGTTGTCTGCACTGTTTGTCATGCTGTTGCAGGAGCTGGCCTTCAGGGATGAGGATACAGAGCGCAACCGCCGTGTATGTGTATGGGTCGCTCTCCCTTTGAACCGTTTTGTCATTTGCAGTCTTTCTCACGTGCCCTCCCAATTTTGTTTTGCTTTTCCTGTCAAGTTGTTGGCCTCTGCAGATAGTGAAAAGGAAAACAAACAATAACAAAATGTCATCCTTCTATATATCGGGGTATGAGTTGAGCCATAACCAAGTTCGTGAGTGTAATTTGAAACGAGCCAAGCAGAATCATGGAAACCCTGTTGAAAGCTCGTGTGTGCGTTTGAGTTGGTGTGTGTTATGTACCCGATTGAACTTCAATCCACAACGAATTCATACGTTCCCATACACACATGCAATTGCAGAGTAGACTCGAAGGAGGCAATTCCACACAAAACAGGAGAGAAGATATGCATAGCGGAAGCTCAAAATACACAGAGAATTGAAAAACGAATTTCAATTCTGTAATCCCCCGTCCTCCTCCAATCAATCCAGAGTACTTGTTCCAAAAATCACAACCGCATTTACAACAACCCCGAACAACCAAAAACAAGTGTTCAACGAAGTCTGCAAGAGTCTTCTTCTTCCTCCTTGCCACCTCATACCCCTGGCTATGGCAGCCGTAGCAGCAGTAAGCCCACAGCTATCACAGCGTGCCAATCTGAGCCAGCAACCCCAATTATAGCAGCGCCAGCTCAGCGCCCGCACGGAAGTGCAGCGCTGGAAGTCCTGATGAAGAAGGAGACAACCGATCCAGCACTTCGAAGAGGACAAAGATGAAGTTCCTCATGACGAGGAACAGCACATATGGCTGCCAAGTGGAGAATGGCAGCGCCCAAACCCAACAACACAGTCCTGTGGAAGGTCTCGTGCAGAGCTGCTGAATAGCAGCAGTGCGATCTCCAATTCCATGTCCCAGCCCCAGCTATGGCTGGGCTTCGAGGAAGAAGATGCCCTCGCCCAAAATAACGCAGCAACGCTTCAGAAACGGACGCGTAGAGTTTCCCCACCAAAATAACGAGAAAAGACCCGAACCAAATTTCCTGCCGCTACTTCTACCCTCTGCGTAGACCTACGGCGGACTCCAAAGTCAACAACCCAAGGCTCATCTGTATCTAGATGGAAACAGGGGAAAAGGGGACCTAGACCTATGTGGCATACTGCGCAGCCACACGGGCCTGCAGGGCCCGACCAGACGGAAAATAAGGGCCCTTCAGGCCCTGTGTCGTTTCAGCCTAAAAGCCTAAAAACGAGGGCCTTTTCAGGCCCTCATAAAGTCGACCTACCCTGAAACATAGGCACCAAACCAGGGTTTTAGCCCAGGCCATTTTGGGCCTGTTTTCAAGACGACCTTTGTTTGGACTTCAGCACCAGTGTCTGGCACGTTTTGGCATTGGCAAGAGCAGCCTCCTGGACAGGCCAGCACTATATAGTACTGGCCCGCCCTGCAGGCTGCAGGTAGTCACGAGGTAGGTAGTTGCCAGGGACTTCCCAGGCAATTCGCGGGCACTTCACGTGCAGGAGGCAGGACGCAGTCTTCAGGAGTTGGCCGCAGCACTCTGGAGGAGCGCTGCCGTAGTAGCAGCTAGCGCTAGAGTAGTCTTCAGCGCTGGGCGCTGCTAGGAGGTAGAGTAGCGTTAGGAAAGAGAGAGAAGGGTGGAGGCCAGGGAGACTTACCTGTGGCGCCATAGCTCCAGCTTCGTCTTCGATGTACCTGCAACAAGGTGCCACCTTCACAGGTTAGTACTTGGTACAAGAGGGGGAGAGAGAGAGTTTTCTTCTTCCTCCTCTAAGTCCGCCATCTCTTCCTCACCCTCTTGCCACCTGACTTCTCAGTATCTGCAGACTACGAGAGAGAGAGAGAGAGAGAGAGAGAGAGAGAGAGAGATTGGTGACTTTGGGACTTGACGACATTTGGATTCAGACTCGACATTGGGATTGAGACATTGGACGAGGGTTTATTTGGGACCTGTACCGAAGACTTGGTGTTGACGACATTCCCATCTTCCCCCTCTTCTTCGTCTGATCCCCCTCCTCCTCGTCTGTGTATGTATGGGGCTGGCGCATTCTTCCTGTGTGAGCGCCTGCCCCTTTCACACCATGCGATGATGATGCTGTATGCGTGGTCTGCAGTTCGACATTGATTGGTCTGACCGTTGATATTCTAGCCTTCCACTGCGCTATCTTGTACTATGTGAGAGAGGTCGGCTCCTCTTCTGGTCTGCACCGTTACGGTATGCGACAGTTTGGTATCGGAGTAGACCTCTCAATCAGAGGATCTGCCCAATCAAGGAACCTGCTTGAAGTTATTAATTGATGGATAGTTTGATGATTGATTGATAGCTTGATCAAGTAGGACCCCGTTAAATCTCTGCAACTTTTTTTTCTTTTGTTTCTTTCTTTCGCGATCTAGGCCTATTCGGTTAAGAGGGAGGTTGTCATATTCTCGGAAACTGGATTTATTCTTTTCTGACAAACGAATCTCCATTCTATTTCGCAAATGCCGCTGGGCATAGTAGATTGAGAGGGAGGTTGTCATATTCCCGGAAACTGGATTTATTCTTTTCTGAAAATCGAATCTCCATTCCATTTCGCAAATGCTGCTGGGAATAGTAGATTGAGAGGGAGGTTGTCATATTCTCGGAAACTGGATTTATTCTTTTGTGAAAATCGAATCTCCATTCTATTTCGCAAATGCCGCTGGGCATAGTAGATTGAGAGGGAGATTGTCATTTCTCGAAAGCTGGATTTATTCTGTTCTGAAAATCGGATCTCCAGCTAGGCTACCAGCCAGGCCGCCCGGGTCCCGGGTGGCCAGCCCGTGCAAGGACCAGGGAAGGTCCCAGCAAAAAAAACATAAAAATAAAAAACTCCAAAAAATCCGAAAAAAACTATGTTATGCAGAAAAATAAACTGAACAACGTTTGCCTCAGGGTCATATCGAAATTCTTCACCAAATTTAGATTTTTTTTTTTTTTTTTTTTTTTTTTTTTTTTTTTTTAATTGTTATGGCCCGGCAGGGCAAGTGACTCGGGCCACTCTGGTAGCCTAGATCTCCAGTCTATTTCACGCAATTTTTTTTCAAAATCGCAAATTTTTTGAAAGCCGAAAGTTTGTGAAGCCTTGCCTAGATCTTGTAGCATTCGCCGAAAGTGCCTCGCTAATAGCTGATCGACAGATATTCAAAAAAAAAAAAAAGAGGGAGGGAATCCTTTCCTTTTATTTTTTTTATTTTATTCTGTTGATTAGGACCGGGTATGGAAGTTGCAGTTTGGTGCCTTTCTGCGTTTCCCTCCCACGCAGCCCTGTTGTCCGCATTCCCGGTTTGGTAAGTGCCACGTCAGCAGCAGTGCCATGTCAGCAACAGTGCCATGTCAGCAGCAGTACTGCATCAGCAGTGCCACAGCAGTGCCCCGCCACCATGACAGTTTCAGCTTTGGGCATGCCAGGCCAATTGGCCAACGAGTCCATTGACGAGTACCATCAGCATTTTCTAGCTCAGCTCTCACTGATCAAGGCTGAGGTACAGCGTCAGGCGGCTGCCCGCCTACAGGCTGAAACAGAGACAGAAGCTGAAAAACAGCGGCTTCAGGCCGCAGCTGATGCAGATGCCCAGGGCCGCTGAAAGGAGGCCCAGGATCTGCTGCAGCGGCACGAAGCCACCAGCATCGATAAGCTCAAGTTCTTGGCATTTCAAACCATCCGAGGGCAATGACGACGCAACACCGGAAGAGCAGCATAAGGTGTTCCTCTCCAAACTCGTGACCCGGGCGGTTTACACTTGCAACCACCTACAGTCCGAGTTAGAGAAACAACACCAGGAATTGGCGAAACAGCACCAGGAACTGGAGAACCTCCAACGGGCAGTGCGGAACCACAAGGATCTGCACGAGGGTGCTACACGGGCACTTGATTCCTGTGTACAGGAATTGGAGCAAGCAGCACCAAGACCAGACGCTGGCGAACCCAGCAGTGCAGCCTCAACCCGCCAATTGGAGGAACGAGTTGACCATGTGGTCGCAATGCTCGGGGACATCAGCACCTTTGCCGCACCAGCCACCATCAGCGAGCAGCTGGACACCTTGAAGACCGAGGTTCAGCAACTGCACCAGCTGCCCGACAAGGATGGCAACACCAGTGTGCAGAAGTACAAAATGTCGATATTCCGCATCGAAAAGTTTGATGACTATACGCATCAAGACCCGGTCCCCTGGTGGGAGGGCTTTACGACGGAACTTCGGATTCATTTTGTCCCCGAGCACTCGTACATCGGCGCGTTGTTCCTCAACTCAAAGGGTGGATGCGAGGTCTGGCTCAGCCACCTGGCAACCATCCACAACGTCCAGGTCGCCGATCTACACAAGAAGATCTCTTGGGAAGATCTAACGAGACAATGGAAGAAGCGGTTCATCGTTGACAACGCCCCGACGCTCGCCATCAACTGCCTCTTCAGCATGACTCAAGGCAAAACACCAACACGTGAGTGGCTCACGAAGTGGCAAAAGATCGTGGCAACACCCGATCTTGACTTGCCATTCTTGCATGTACGTCAGGAGTTCTACAACCGGTCGTGTGCCGCCTTGATCCTCGCACTCGGTGATCGCGATGTCGAGCGCATAGGCTCCCGCCTTTTTTGCAAAGGCGAGAGCCCTCCCGGCTATGTCACGAAGGAGTTAAAACAAAAACATAACCAAGAGACAACTTAGGACAATGCATAAATAGTCCTGCGAACCGCCGAGACGAACGCGGTTGCATTGCCCCTTCCCCGCTCTAGCCGGGTGCGCCAGCTGTACATCCCGCGGTCCCCTACGACAGGATAGGTTCTCACGGGGCACATCTTACCTTCCCTAAGGGGCTGCCACCACCCTCAGGGGCGTATCCCTACCGAGCTACTGACCCACATGCGAAAGCTTTTACATGCAATTGCAGAGGTAGGTCAACCGGTGACGTTTGCTCGTTCGCTG